GTCAGCACTTACGTATTTGTTCACACAGACCACCGAACTGCCAAAACCACAGTCCTCCACTATGGGTTGCGTTACACCCGGCGGCTGCTGCTGTCCCGACGTAGTTGCTATGAGAAGCGAAGCGACAACCACAAGAGCATTCATCTTTTTATTCCAGCTTCAACACTTGAGGATGGCGGAATTTGTCCAAATCACAGGCGAACGGCGCTGTCATCATTCTCGCGGTCCAAGCAGGATCACTGACTATATCATCAAAAGACCATTGCCTCTCTCCAAATTTTCACCTAGACGAGACGGCTCCTAGCGGTATGGTACATTCCATCCCCACGGACTATCGCCGGAAACCAACCTTTTCCATGGAATGATTCTGGCATCACTCAAGACCCTCTCAGAATATGTCGAAATTCAAATCTCTAATGCCTCGCGACGGTGCTTTTCATGCTCTGACCCTCAGCTCTCCACAACCCCAACGGGCGGTCGGCAAATGCTAAATGTTTGGGGAAGTTGGGGAATTGCTTTATGAACCTGGACAGTAGTGGGTGGCAGTTGTTAGGAACTGGTAAAGTTCAATTCCAACTTCGCGTCGATCATCTTGGCAGGGTCAAGGATTTAATAATCTTGCACTTCGTTTGGAGTAGAAGCCTGCGATTGATCATGGGACGAATTCTGAACGATAGAATGGTGAAAAACTTTACCCTTCATAAACAAAGGAGCCGAGAGTAGCTAGGACCCAAGTGTGTCAGCTTAACGTCAAAATGAACACGTGCGCTACAAGCGTGGCTGGCATTCGTGGAAGGGGCAGCCCCTAAAAATGATAGCCTTGCTCAGGCTCGTGACTTCACACCGAATATTGGAGTCGGACGTGATGATCTTCCCTAGTGATTCTTAAGTCGAGGCAGAAACCCGCCCTCTTGACACAGACTCACGTCTGCTTCAGTTCGATTTCTTCCACCTTTCGGCGAGCTCTTCCAACTGCGCTTTGGTTTTCGCTTCCAAAATTCAATTTCTGAGCTGGACCTCCCCTCTGTCCTAGAGTAGGTAGGACAAGGACCTTCTCAGGTGTCTCCGCTGAAAAGAGGATGTTAGCGGTCGTTTGTCGAAAGTTTTGAAAGAAGGCACCGACCCATCACCATTGAGACTGCTCGGAATCAACCGGCGTCAGCATCCAGCCCTCCTCCTTAAATTCTCCTTGTCCTTCACCGGCGCTTCCTTCGTTGAAGCGCTTGTTACCTCGCACAATCAAGACTCGCAAAATCTGCTGATCATAAATCCTGTCGCCATCAAATAGCAGGGAATAGCCTTCGTACTGGACCGACTCTACCATTAGCGCTTAACCTCTCAATCTGATGAAGTCTCCCGACACTTGCCCCCTCCAAGACGACCCAGAAATTACTGATGTTATCCCTGCATCTTGCACCTATGTCATCACTTAAGCTCATTCATCAACTTTGTCTCGGAGTTACACACTGTTTCAAAAATATGATCAAAGTACGTCCCACAGACGTAGCCGTCCATCGACGCCCAAGACCATGACGGCTCTCGATGCATTTTCGTTCTGTGTCCCAAGATCACCACTTTCCACAACATATCCTGAAGCAGGAATTCTTTCCAATGGCCTGCTATGTTGGCTAAGCCTGTTCGAGATTCAACCACCCGAATCATACCACTGATCCCAACAGTTTGTCTGAGGGGAACGTCAGATCGCAGCTGGTGGAGGTGGTGACTAGAGCCAACCACGAATTGAGAAAAGCAGCGAACTCGGCGCCGTCCACAGGCGTATCTTTGGAGATCGACAGCCCCAAGAATGCAAGAGTCCGCTTAAGTCGAGGCATACCGACATGACCCGAGAGGAGAGATTCTTCATCAGGTTCGGTCTCTGTGGCTTCGTACGCGATGCATTCACAGCCGGTCGACCTGGGACCAAAATATAGTGTCCTTGGAGAAAGAAGATGTTCCTGTACTACACAGCGCCCTAGGCTGAGCTTGCACAGTTTGACATCCCCCGCGTCAACCTAGCCTTTCGGCGTGGCATTCCCAATCACTTAAACCCTTTCTCAAAAGTGCAGTGTACTAAGCAATGTCTGTAGTACAAGGTGTTACGTGTAGTAAAGCATCTTTGGTAGCTGTTTCCAGCACCAAATGCTGGGATTGTGCAAGCCGACTGTCGGTAAATGATGCCATAATCCTTGACTCTCTTGCTCAATCCCCGAGGGAGCCCCGAACGACGCAGAGCGAGTCGATACAAACCTACTAGAATCCAAGTCTACAAGTGATGACAACCACGTCTTTAAAAGTTTTCGACAGGGCAGCTAACCGTATGCTCTTCTGGAATGAGCCAAGGTTTGTAGAGCTCAAATTGTCGATGTCGGCGCTTCCCCAGCAATGGCTCAGGGTCAAATATCTAGGCTTTCGGGCGAAACTGGAAGTGAGGACAGAGTGGACTGTGCCTTCTTGCCCCAACGTCAGTAGCTGTGTGGGCCATTGGCTGGCAAATAGCTGTGCCTTGCATCACTCTCGATATTCCGTTAAACATTTCTGGAGCAAGTATTTCGTGAGCGCGAAAGTAGCATCCGAGAGGGTAAACTTCGCAAGCTGGGCGGCGTGGGATAGAGTGGATGGGTCCAGCCAGCCAGCTTTGTGGAAGATGGAGTCCCGATCCTTCGATGTCGGCTTCGACCTCTCCCAATCGTTAGGAAATGATGAGCAAATCCAGGAGTAAGTTCATAGCGGTCAGCGAGCCGGCCAAAAGTGTTCAAATTGATCCTATTGACCATAAATAGAGAGAGAGTCTTCTCAATCTCGATAGTAACTCCCCTACCTAGGTGAGAAGCGCCATCAAACGGCCTTTAGGCCATATCTGCCAGTTCCACCAAACCAGGGAGCAGAGATGGCAGCCCTTTCGAGCTGAGTTCTCGAGTTCCTGAAAGAAGGATAGTGGCTGGACTGTTTCGTATTTTCTAGACATATATCCTTGGTTGGTGTTGCGGGACTTCCTGATCAGGGTTCGAACATTGAGAGCAAAGGACGTGCTCCAGGGCGCATGCATTAGCTTCGGGGTCGTCCACATCGATCGGCTGAAAGCACCTAGTTTCTTTCCCAGATATCTGGAAGGTTATTTGCCATTTACGGAGACAAAAAAGGTCAACTCGGTGTGCCGCAACTGCCTTGATAGCCTTGCTCTTCCGTCCGTACGTTAAGAGTCAGACTGGCGCCGTGTGGACTTTTTAAGAGTCATCAGTGCGGCTCTTCGAATACCTGCAAGCACAAATCAGAAAACTGGCAATAATAGGCAGGATATATCACATTGCTTGAAAAATGCTGTCCAATTACAGAGAGGCACCCAGTGCGCGATTATCTTTACTACGTGAGTGGCTTGAGTGCTTGACACAGGCTCAAATCCTTAGACCGCTGGCCAGGTTCATCGAGGCGTCCTGGCTAGGGTGTTGCGGTCAAAGGCACCGGTCGTTTTAGTAGGTTTGGACGGATCCTTAACTGTTGATAAATTGAGATTGCTTCTAGGCCCTAGTCTCGGTTGCACGGTTGGGTGGTGTATCAGAAGGCTGGGCAATGCGGAGAGACAGCCTGGGAGAATGAGGACTGATATAGAAAGAGGCTAGGGAAGAAACCCTCCAGAAGCGGTGGCATGGATTGTCAGAACGGCATTATATTAGCTGCAACATGTATTGGATCGAAATACCCAGTACCCGAATTGCGACGCGCATACCTACCAACCTGAGAGGCAGAAAACATGAATCAGAATTCAATGATATTGGTGGTGCATCTAGGGGAGTTCTGCTTCACCGTTTAAGTGCACAGTTCTACGGTGAAGTAAATAAGCAGCACTGCTTCTTCTCTTCGTCTTGACAAGCTTGCTGAAGCTTGCTGTTTTCTTCACCACTCGTATTGTTGCATCCCCCCTAAGTGTCTCTGTTGATTGCTGCTCACCTTTTGTGCTCTCTTTTCAGCTCTGCAAGCTACATCGTCGACTTGCCGACTTGGATATCCTGAGCCCGCCAAGTACGGGGATAGGGGGCGAAAGGGGGCCTCAAACACTTTCTGACAGTCAAGCCTTCTTGGCCGCTCCCTTACCGACCCCCGTGCCGCTGTTTCCAGCCCAGTTATAGCCTGTCAGTGGCTGTCAACAAGTCGCCCAGACGCCTGATGTCCCTGAATTCTGCGTCAGTGGACTCTTAGTAGCATGCGGACTTCTTGGTAACTCTGGAGACACTGAACCGATCCTGCCAATGGGACCACAATAAACTTCGTTTCCCTCCTCGCATAGCTGAAAGCGCTGAGCCCTGACACAAGCAAACGCTATCCCTGGCGATAAATCCTGCGATGTGGTCGACGAAGACACCTTGGCCGCAGCCTTGTGTCAGAGATTGTCCTGATCAAAAGGCTGGGCATTTATTTATCCACAATATCTCCTCTGAAAATGTCCAAGACGTCTGCCATGGCCAACTGCCAAACAAGCAGTAGCCCACTTGTTGATTTTATCGCGTAACGATTGGCAGGGGACCTCTCAACTTTTTGTGCTTTGGCTTTGGCCTCTCGTGATTTCGCTCAAATGCTTTTGTTTTCAGGAGTATGCTACCGGGTTCTCGCTACGAGGTACATAGGTGTGTCGCCAGCCTTAAAATCATGTTGTCCCTTTCCTCCAATCTTGAATAACACAAATCTCACTCCGACTCTTTTTTTGCTTTGGTTTAAGTGCTGCCGGACAGTCGTCGATCAAGGTGCTGGTCGCCTCTAGGTCTCTTCGTGATTGAACTTATATTTCGTGTCTACTTTTTTCAAGTATCGGCGCCGCGGAGTTGTCCTTGTCTTTGTCCAATTGTGTCTCCCTTGTTTCCCTGGATGCGTGGCGGTATAGGTGACGGTCATCCGACATGTCAGAAAGATCATGTCCCGTTAGCGGGCACAGGGGTGGACCAGGCTCTCTATGTCCGGCAGGTACCCAGCGAGTTGGTCCCCGAGGCTGTGCTTTCGCAGCTTATCAAATGTCCGCACAATCACATTACACACCTCAAGGAGTAAGTGTTCAGGCAAATCCCAGTGTGATTTGTCGCTAACATCTGCAGATTCCCTCGGACGGCCAGTCGATAGAGGATCTCATCTCTCAGGAGAGAAAAACCATCACAGAATTGCTTCTTCCTGAGGCACCACCGACAACCGTCACCAATGGCCTGGCTAATGCGGACCATCTGAATCCCCCGGACCTTGATGTTCTCGCCTCAGCTCTCGGTGCTCCCGCCCGGCAAGTCCTAAGGCGTGCCCAAGAATTGGGTCCTTTGACTGGGTGGAGGGATGGTTACTTGACAAGCACGCACGGCTTCTGTCCTCCAGACCCGTCAGCAGCGCCGGCCGCACTCTCAATGTCACCTGGGAGAATATGGTCAGATCTTTGCGAAAGAATGCCAGCCGTGGTAGCGCGTGGCAAAATGCGTGAATCAATCCTGGCTTTGCCTCTCGTCTATGGTACAGAAGACATCATACCTGACCAAGCTCTCTGGGCTGCCGTTGTTTGCTTAGGTATACTTGCCAGCGTTTACAGATATGAAGAGCGCAACGATGGGCACGAGGGGATCAGCGTAACAGCACCTCCTGGAACTTTTCGCAACTTGTCAGGTGAAGCAGATGACGAAGAAGAAGAGACGAAAGGAATTCCCCGAAATATTGCTATCCCCCTCCGACAGATATGTACGAGGATGGGTAGAGTTCTGCCCCATTTGACTCAGTACGATGTCTCTGTATACAACTACAAGCTTCGAGATCCTACCAGCATCGATCCATATGTCGCGAGATGCGAAAACATGGACCTACGGTGGCCCGTCTTCAACGATCGTGGGGAAGCTATGTTCCTCCTATGCATGGCTGAGACACATGGATGCTTCGTCGAGGGCGTTGAGTTGATCACAAGGTGTCAGGAACGAGTCATGTTGAAGGACAAAGAAGGGCTTCTTCGAGAGCTGATTAAATTGAAAGCGATCGTTGACAGATTTGTCCACGTCTTTCAAAAGATTAGTGTCAATCCAAACTCAGGCGAGAATTTTGCAAATCCAGTCGAGGTAATTCGTCGTTTTCGAGCCAACAGAGCCAATGCTGACTGCTTTCTAGTGGGGCCAGAGATATGCAAAATTCAGCGCTCCCCTTTCCAAACGAGTTCCTGCATTGTCCGGACTTGCATTGCCCGTATTCTTATTGATGGATGCGTTCATTGGAAGAACAAAATACGACAGCTTCCTTGGAAAAGAAGCTCTCCATCTTAGAGCCTGGCTGCCAATGAATATCCGAGCGTTCATCGCTGCTATCGAGTATCATTATCAGGTTCCTGCCTTCGTGAAAGAATCCGGCGATTCACGTCTGATGGGCGTCATGGAGGGCATACTCGAGGCTTATCTCTCGGAGCGCGGTTGGTTCGGAACGCATCGCTGTCCGTCACCACTCTCCTATGGCGCAACCTCTCGCTAACCACTTGTGATGCAGATAAAGTCTATGGCTTCTTGGAAGTCGTCGCAAAAACTGGTCGAAGTGAGACGAACGGGAATGCCGGGTCGTCCGACAATATTGGAAGGCCTTGGGAAGAGGTGCATAAAACGCTTTCCGAGTCCATGAGAGAACGTTTAGAGCCTTTCCGAGGCAAAGTCACCTTGCAACCGCACGAGCTCCGAGGATCGTTCGAAGAATGCAGATTCAAAGCAAGAATTCTGTCCCGATCCTTCGTTGATACGGATCCTCAGCGGTCCACGGCCATGGTGACCTTCGGCCTCGAAGGCACTGGTATCACATTCCAACCCGGAGACCGACTTGCCATTATGCCACTCAACAACTGGACAGAAGTTGGGAAGATCACTGCCGCTCTAGGGCTGGATGAGTTCCTTCACAAACCAGTCCCACTTTCACAAACTCCAGATTGGAATCGTTTTGCCCGCCATCTGAAATCGGTCAATCGAACTAACAGCGAGCCCTCATTGACTGTGCAAGACATTCTCCGACGAGGACACTTGGCGCCTCTGACAAAGGACATGGTCATGGCTTTCCATATGACTCTCCGTGCCTCGTCATCAACCGTAGTAAAAGTTTTAGGGTCAGAGATGTGGCCGGTGGAGGGCAGCATAGGAGACCTGCTTCAACTTGCAGTCGCAGAAGTTTCTCCGACGATTTGGGACCGAGCATTCGACCTGTCCGATCTTTCATGGCTTCCGAAATTGATCCCTGTTGAGGTTCCGCGAACTTACAGCATCTCCAACTACTCGCATGAATTGCTTCCGAGCACTGTTGACCTGACTGTCGCTCGCTCTGAGTCTCAGCTAGCCCCGGTACTGCAGCCCACCGCTCCCTACGGTCGGCGATATGGGGTAAGCAGCGGATGCCTTAATCCAGATCCTTCTCATTCAGGAGAAATGCTTGACGACGAAGAGTATCTCATTGGGGTTTCTCGACCTATCAATTTTCAACTTCCAGTCACCATGACTGGTCCTATTGCAATGTTTGCAGGCGGATCTGGTATCGCACCTTTCAGAGGATTCTGGCAAGCAAGAGCACAAACCAGTGTTGGAAGGAACATCCTTTTCCTCGGGGTACAGTCGCGTGAGCGATTGTCCTACGAGCACGAACTTCGAGAATACGTACGAAACGGCCAGATTGAAGTTCATACTGCATTCTCCAGGGACAGAAATGGTCTCGTTTATGATTCCGTGTCTCGTGATCTCGTCGAGAAGCAAATGAATCCCCGGTATCTCGACGCCGCAATCATCGAACAGGGGCGAACAGTCTGTGACCTCGTTATCTCAAAGAGTCAAGGAGGACTCGGAGGACACCTGTATATCTGTGGCTCCGTGTCGATGTATGAAACAATTATGTCAGGAATTCGGCAAGCCATCTATCAAAACTGGGCATCAACAAAGGAGTCGGCGGACAGCTTACTGGCCAAAGCATTTGCAGAACGACGCTTCATGTTGGACATTTTTATGACACCACGTCCAATCAGCTATGCCACTCCGAGGATCCCTCTATCGAAGCTGGCACTGAACACTGGCCATCGCAAAGGGTCTAGAATGTACATTGGAGTACACGGAGGTGTTTACGATATCACAGATTTCCTCCCCATTCACCCTGGGGGCACCTTGATTGCTCAGGCAAGTGCCGGACTGGATGCCTCCAAGACCTTTGACGACGTGGCCCACACCACAAATCCCGAGGTTATGAGTCTCCTGTCGAAATATTTCGTCGGTCACCTTGCAGCAAAACCGGATTTCCGATCTGTTGAGATCAGTGGCATTTACGATCTCTGGTATCAATATCTGCGCAGTTGTGTGGAAGCGCTCACCACGTTACACTTCGAAGTGGATTACATTCAGCAAGATGCCAGAACTTGGTTTCAAGGGGATCTCTTCAACATGGGGGGCGTGAGAAAGTTCTATCAATTCCAGTCGAGGCTGATGCAGAATGGATTTTCCACTTTGTTTGGCGCAAAGCTTCAGGAGCTGCATCTTAAGCTCACATTCGCACTTGTCAATTCTGGCACACCAGATACTCGCGTACCAGATGTCATTGGCGTCATCACAAGGGCGCAGGCGTCCGCCGCTGCCGCTACTGCTGCAAACGAAATCGCGCAGATCGGATCATTCGTTTGTAACAACCAACAAGCTCAGTTTCAAGAAAACGGGATCCTCCGTTACGCCCGTGCTGTGACCGAGTTGGACGTCCAGTTTCTGGAAGAGATCCGTGAGGATGCCTGCATGGGTATGGACGCGTTCGATGTCATTGAGTGCATCGATTCGGGTACAGAGAAGCACAGACTAGTCAGTCTTAGTGCATACCTGCTGTCAGTTCTAGAGCGTATTGCTGAGCGCCTCGACACCTTCTACTCCAGACTCGCCAGAGAATCCATCTATCGCCCCGAATTAGAGAAGAACCCAGCAAGGACACGATGGAATGTGCTGAGGAGGAAGATACAAGATGGTTCTTTTTTCATCCTGGCTCAAACTTCAACCTTTAGTGGCGCTAGCAATGCGGCAAAACCATTCCGCTCAACACGATACGCGGATCAGGATATTGTGTTTGCGCAGGTTGTCTCGCAGGCCAAGCAAGCAATTGACGTTGGCCACCCATATCCTGGCGGAGAGACCATTCGAAGCTCCAACACGGATGCGACTCGTCCGCTTCGCCTCGCCGATTCGCATACTGCCAGGGCAGCCCTTGGTGTTGATGCCCCATCGTCTTACGAGGTGCATGAGTCGCGAAACGCACTTCAATCGATCTCTACCTTCATGGACTCGAACATGCAGTCCATCAAGCGGTTGAGTCAGTTACCTTCGGACCTAAGTTTTGCGAACATCATGGCGGCATATGGCACTACCGGTAAAAAGTTACCATCCGTGCCGTCGCTAAAGGAAATGGACGAAGGGTCTCCTGGTCCCGCTGAGCATCAAAGCGAAGATTCAAATTCACTGTACGCTAGCCGCCGACCCGCTCCTCCGTCAATGTCCGCGAGACCTGGATCAAGAAGTCGAGATAATCCACGAGGAGATAATATGCCGCGACCTTTGAGGCGGCCAACGAACGGGTCGATTTCTAGCGTGACTGGGCTCCCACACAATCCCGCACCCAGCGCCCAAAGCCATGCATCATTCATAGGGAGGCCCTCTCCTGGGCCGTTGCTGCCGGGCTTTCCAAGTCGAGGTCGATCTCAATCTCGCAGCAGGAGTGGTTCCGAGAATAGCTTGAGTCACCGTTGGGCTATGGATACTTCTAACGGGCCCATCGAAGCACCCGTTATACCTCCGCAACCAAGGCTCATGCGCCGTCAACTTTCTGGTACTCCAGCTCAGAATAGGATTGTGACCGAGGTTGAGTCCACATCCAGAAGTCCGCTCGCTCAACAGCCGATGTCGCAAGGCTCCGAGACGGCTACCATGCCAGCCACTCGCCAGGGAGTTCCACAAATCATGGACGAAAGAATCCTGAAGCAGATGCAACAGCAGAATGAAATCATCATGAAAGCTCAAGCTAAAGGAGCAGCGACCGCCGACACTGGGTCGTCAGTATCTAGTGGTCTACGAACATTGAAATTGGCAACAGCCCCAGCACCACTGAGAACAAGACAAGCAATGGGACAGGGATCTGGGGCTCCTGATCTTCCGCTGGGAAATACAATGGACAGCTTCAGAGCACCGCTCCCGCTGCTCAATATACGATAAGACGCTCAGTAAGAAAAAGGTGCTAAGGATGTGAAATTAGCGTTGGTCTTCACAGAAAAGTGTTAGCTTTTGATAGAATAGTTGTAACAAAGTCTTTGCATCTCTCTTGGCGGCAAAATTTTGGTTTCCCGAAGCAGATCAAACCGGTGTTTGTCTGGTTGGGCCAAGCGAAGCTCAACCCACAACTTGTGTGGTGGGTTTAGTTTTTCCCGGATTGTTGTTGATTAGACTCAGATTCGAATCGAGGTCCTAACCCCTGCTAGCCGGTGTTAGTTTGCCTTGTCAGGACCCGGATTTTATGGCGTCCAGACTGGGGATCGAACCAAGGTGTTGCTGCCCGCTAACCGATGTCAGTTTGCCCTGTCAAGACCTGGGTTATGTGGCGTGAAATCGTTGTCGGAATCGAGATGTCAGGGTTGAGGTATCGACCAGTGAGAAATACTGCACGTTCCTATTTCTCAGTCATCCACGAGAGGAATCGAGATAGGGGGCATTGGGTGACAGTATTTGCGGGCTTTGATATGATTGAGGCGATTTATTTGTACCAGACCTAGTATTTAGTCGTGGGTCATTTCCAACTATCATGTTAAGCCTTGCGAGACTCTCAGCCTCGCCACTCGAATATATGGACCGAGTACGAGGAATAACCAAGTCTTGGCATTGATGTTGGAGTTTTGACTCAGCCTCGTCACATCGCCCCATTCCATGTCGGACAGAAGCTGCAACTTACATCACAATATTCTGTATTTGATTGCGAAAGGGAGAGCCCAGTGAAAGCTATGCCTCCTCTTCTTCCGACAGTCCCCATCACCTCATGGAAGCCCCGAATCATATGTTATTTCCAAACCTATCATCATGGTGACGAATATGTCTCCCTTCTACCACTCCTCACCAACCCCTCTGGAATCACGCATGTTATATTAGCAGCCATCCATGTCAATTGGGACCCTCAGCTCTTGACACTCAATGATGATCCTCCCGAGCACGAAAAATACACCCAGCTATGGGACGAAGTCCTCGTACTCCAGGATTCCGGGATCAAGGTCTTGGGGATGTTGGGGGGCGCCGCGCGGGGTTCCTTTGCGAGGCTCGACTACTCTGAATCGAGGACCGATGTCCCCAGTGCGCGATTTGAAAGTTATTATATTCCACTACGCAATATGATAAGGCGGTATAACCTCGACGGATTAGATCTGGATGTCGAAGAGGAAATGTCCCTGCCTGGGATTGTACATCTGATCGATCGTCTAAAAACGGATTTTGGGCGTCAGTTCATCATCACACTCGCCCCTGTGGCTACGGCTCTTATGGCTGGGCGGCCGCACTTGTCTGGATTCGATTACCGCATGCTCGAAGCCATGCGCGGGTCAAGTATTGCGTGGTATAACACGCAGTTTTACAATGGATGGGGAGGATTGCATAATACGGCGGCCTATGATGAGATCATGCGCAATGGGTGGCCCGCGGAGAAAGTTGTGGCGGGAATGTTGACGAACCCGAAACACGGCGGGAGCGGGTACGTGCCACTGGAGTTGTCGGCGGCGGTGTTGAGCATGCTGGTGGAGAGGTATCCAGAATTTGGAGGGGTGATGGGGTGGGAATACTGGGATGCACTGCCTCAAGAAGGCGAGAATTGTTGGATGTGGGCTTATTGTATGGGGTTGTGTATGGGGATGAAAAAGGTGCGGGATGCGGCCTTGGTGGTCCAACTAGGGAGGGGTTTGGCTGGGATTTCTGTGAATCGGTGACAAGATGCTCAAGCAAGGAAATAGAATAGATTTTCGACCGCATACCATCACTATGAGGGATGTTGGCGAAAGCCGAGAACGGAGAAGGCGTGAATGCGCTTGCAACAATGAGATCCGTCCCAGCAATTTGGTGAAACAGTGACTGAACACTTTGACGGGTATTAACTCCACCTTAACATGACATCGCTGTATCTCATTCGTGACGGGGAATCATCCCATTCGAGCATCTGTCTTGATATCGAACCCAAGCGCTGCATTAAGGCTGATACCCCTTATACGTGCCCTAACTACTCTTTTTGTCAGACAGCCTTTTTCTTGGTGAAGGCAAATGGAGGCTCGACGTCAGACCACATTCACCAAAATAAGCTCCAGTTGCACGCTCTACTTGCGTCATTGGGGGGAAACGAGCTGGACGTGCATCCGCACTTTGCCTGTGCTTCTGCTACAGCCAACTTTTTGGCAACGATGTGATGCATGTCCCACCACTCGCTGCTTAGGCAGTGAGTACAGCTCCTTCAAGCATCAATATGCCTTCACCAGCAGAGATCCTAGCTGGGACAAGCTCATCAATAACAAGGCTCGCTGCCTTCATCTTTTTGAGATGGGTAAGAGTCCTCGAACCGTCAACTACACAACAGACGAAGCCATACTGACCCTCTCTCCAGATTCCTGGTCACCTTTTCCCTCCCATCATTCTGTCCGCAGTGGCTATCTACCTCGCCTTCGTTTCCAGCCAGTCTGAAGCTTTCGGGTCAACCAAACCTACACTGCATGAAACACCGCCCAAGCCGATTTCACATCCCGATGGCCACGAGGAATCGAAGGAACAAGACCGGATCAATGAAGACCATGAGCAACCCGCCTTGTACGAGGATGAGAAGTCATTGTTCAAGATCTTACTCTTTGGAATACCAAATTGGCGTGAGACAGGATGGAGCTACGCAACTATTGGAGTGAACGTCTTGTTAGCACTTTTCACGCTCGATTTGATCTTTCGAGGGCCTCTCCTCCATCCGGCCAAGGACTTGAGTTTCACTCGCGTCGGCTATGTGGATTCGACGTCTGCAAAGGTCTTGATTAGAGAACCGAATCTGGGCCAACTTCCAATGTATGTATACCTGTCACCGGCAGACAAGACCAGTTGGACAACCACAGACACGATCTACTACCTGGGCCCGGATACGGATTATACTCACGCACTCACCTTTGACGGTCTCCAACCCTCGAAGAAATACATCTACTCGTTGTCTAACGACAAGTCTGGCACTTTCGTTACGGCTCCATCGCCATACTCGGAGGTCGCCAATAGCTTGACGTTTCTCACTTCGTCTTGCATGAAGGCCAATTTTCCGTACAGAGCAACAGCTCATTCTCTGGCGATTCATGGCTTTGAATACTTGTCCAAACTCGTCGGCTCGTTATCTTCGCCAGCCTCATTCATGCTTTTCCTGGGGGACTTCATCTACGTTGACGTGCCACTCCGTCTATCATCCTCTCTGGCACATTATCGTTCGGAATATCGACGTGTCTACGCTTCTCCGTCGTGGTCATTACCCGGCCTTGATACTCTACCCTGGATCCACACGCTCGACGACCATGAAATCGCCAATGACTGGTCAGGGGGAAACGATACAGATCCGTTTCCGGCCGCTTCCGATCCCTTTATCCATTATCATGTCTCTGTAAATCCGCCCGTCCCCCCAGGCTCTCCGAATGGATTGGAAACAAGCACTACATACTTTCAATTCTCCCACGGTCCAGCCTCATTCTTTATGCTCGATACGCGACGATATCGGACTGACCCAGAACCGCAATCGGCCCGGTCATCAGCGTCGAGCTCGGAAAAGCCTCTGTACAGCTCCTCTCTGAACTCGTCTAACCCACCCTCCGACCCCGAAAAACATACAATGCTGGGCGTTCAACAGCTTAACTCCCTCCTTAAGTACCTCTCTGAACCTGAGCCGCCACATGTCTACTGGAAAATCATCGCCACCAGTGTTCCCTTTACGAAGAATTGGCGATTTGGCACATCCGACACCTGGGGGGGATTTCTCAGGGAACGCTCCATAATCTTGCAGGCCATGCATGATGCAGAGCGCGAACTTGGCGTTAGAGTCGTTATTCTCTCCGGAGATCGCCACGAATTCGCTGCCATAAGATATCCGCCGCCAGTTCTCTCCCAAGATCAGGACCAAGACCAAGTAGGGGATACGATCGACTCGTCCAACACACCCACAGTCGAATCGGTCTCCAAGCCTGTCGTCTATGACACGACGCCCGCTTCCGGCCCGCACGAATTCTCGGTGGGGCCCTTGTCTATGTTCTATCTCCCATTCCGGACGTTCCGCCAGACTGACAACCAAGACGTCGCCATTCAGTACATTCCCGATGGAAACAGTAAAATCGGCCTCATTGAAATCCGTCATCTGGCGGGTGATGCGGGGGGCGAAGGGCAAAGGAGCTTGTTGAAGTATAGTTTGTATGTGAATGGGGAGGTGAAGTGGGAGTACATGCTTACGAGCCCGAGCCCGAGCTCTGCTGCGGGAGGACATGGGCGTGAAAGGAGGAGGACTCGAAATGGCGCGGGTGCAGGTGTGAGAGGATGGGCACAGAGATTGGGACTACGCGGTGGTGCAGGGCGAGGGCGGTCATTATGGGACTGAGAACGTGATGAGAGGAAATGGGCATAATTGTTAGGGCAACTGGTGAGACTGGGAGTCAGAGTATGGTCAAGGGCTCGAATAGCGTTAAACGAAAATTCTATGTAGCTTTAAAGGATATTAGTGAGGGATATGGGCATACTGAGAGATGATTTAAGGGAAGAACTATTCATAAATCTTTGGTTCGAAGTCTCTATTGGTGTTGGGGTAGTCCGTCTAGCTCTTACAAGGGCCTCCCAGGAGAGAAACGTATATAAGAAAAGGGGAAAAAGAGAGAAATTGTCCGTGTCCATACTTTGTCTCGGCCCGTGCCTTAACTGCAATATCGTAGACCCTACAAGTCGCTTTCAAGATTAGTGGGCATATTTTCAGACATTCGACTGGACGTGAACAGAATAAGCTGCGGCGAAGTAATTATCTTCCCTATGTAGATTGCATAACTCGTGTGAATACATGATGCATAGAGACACGAATGAGGACGTGGGAAGAGGGAGAGGAATCAAACACGTTTGTGGCATGTGTTGGCGGAGAGTCCGCCCGCGCCTTTTCTTCCTCTTTTCCTGGAGTCTGTAGTATATTCAAGTAGCTGTAT